GGATAGTATTTTTCGAAAAAATAATTTAGCCAAGATACAAGACAATCATAACCATAACAGTAAGAAACTGACTATATATTGTAGAGAATAGAAAAATCAAGGTTTAAAATAACAAAAATATCTATTTGTTAAAAGTAGTTTTTCTCTCAATCCAAATGATTTTTTACTTCGCAAAAAAATACGATATATCCCCAATGCTAACTTGATACGAAAGTAAAACTACTCAGAAACATATCCGCGAATGAGTATGCATCAATGCATAAATAAAGAGTGAAAACAACGACGAAACACTTATGGATTGGTTGAAGTTAGACAATAACACCGTTGGATGCCGGCTCAGTGGTCTAATGGTTAAGTGCTCGCGCGCGAAGCCAGTAGGTCCTGGGTTCGAATCCCGCGGGGGGCGGGTTCGTGGATGCGCACTGCTGAGGAGTCCCACACTAGGACGAAACGGCCGTCCAGTGCTTCCAGGTTTTCCATGGTGGTCTAGCTTTAATTGGCTCATGATTTCAACTTGTGAAATTTCTAAAAATCTCCACAAAACCCATTCTGATAATAATAATCACCTGCTCACTAGTGACTGACTTCAGGAGACACTCCTGGAGTTCTAGTGAGAAGTCGTTACCAGTGGAGTTCAACTAGGTCTGTTGTGAGATAGGAACTCACTGAAGACAATGGTGTACGGTAGCGCAACTTCGTGGATTGGTTGAAGTTAGACAATAACACCGTTGGATGCCGGCTCAGTGGTCTAATGGTTAAGTGCTCGCGCGCGGAGCCAGTAGGTCCTGGGTTCGAATCCCGCGGGGGGCAGGTTCGTGGGTGCGCACTGCTGAGGAGCCCCACACTAGGACGAAACGGCCGTCCAGTGCTTCCAGGTTTTCCATGGTGGTCTAGCTTCAATTGGCTCATGATTTCAACTTGTGAAATACTTATCAATGAGTGTTGTCAAAATAAATCAGATGTATGTAATAATTTTAATTGAAATGATTGATTTCCTGAGAGCGTAGAGACTAGTTCCAGTATAAATCGATACCTGTTAAGAAGTTGCTAAGATGGCAGGTGTTACATGATTTGTTTAAGTTGGTTTCGGAACAAACTCAAATGACACATACAACCATTTGGTTGAACACAGAGAATTCAAACTTAATTGTAGATGCACATTCTCAGGCTTATGAAAATAGGATCAGTACGCCAATGATTTTATCATCAATCAGTAATAATATTATCGATTAGTGGTGAGATATTTCAGTTGAACTAATGAAATAAAAAAGAGACAGATCTATACAAACATACAAACCAACAGAAAAGTATGTTGTATTGTACAACCACAATGTGAAATATAAAACCATTAGTTTAAAAAAAGCAATAGCATTTTTTCTAGGTTTTATGTCTGGTGTGTTATACATGTACAAACTGATCTTTGAAAAAAAATACAAAAAAGCCTATCAACTATGTATTCTTAAAAATTGTATCACAAAGGTATACATAGAAAAACATCGTATAGATCATATATTCATGAAAAGAATGATAATTTTGATGCAATTTCAAAGAGTTGAGTAGTATGATGGCTTATACTAGGACGAAACGGACGAGAAAGAAACGTCTCAAAGTTCTAGTGAGAAGTCGTAACCAATGGAGTTCAATCTTGTTAGGTGTGAAGTATTTATCCACCAAAGATAATGGAAGATGGCTGCACAATATCGTGGATTAATTGAAGTTATAGATTAAAACTGTTGGGTCCTGATTTGGTGGTTTAAAGGTAAAGGGTTCACACGTGAGACAGAAAGTCGTGGGTCCGATTCGTCAGTTGGGATATCACATACTAAAACGAGACGGCTCTTTAAGTCTTTTGAGTTGGTTCATGATTTAAGCAAAATTCGACAATCTCCACAACCTTATATTTCTACATTTCACACTGTGGTCATATAACGTAACACCCATCTCTATTCATGCATTTTGTCGTATAGAGATAGGTCTTATGGTGTTGTCATTTAGAAGGATAAAGAGAAATTCACGAATAAACCATCCAACTCAGGTAACACAATGCTAACATCCTCGTCCTCAGCTACAATTACTCCCCCATCATCTCAATAATCTAGATAATGTCTAAGCAATTAATTGCCGGATATCATAGAGCTGGAAAGAATGGAGAAATTATTATTAGATAAAAACTAGAAATCTATCAAAAACCATGAATGTATAGTTATTTTAAGTCATAAAAACAGTTGGTCATATATTCCTACAATTAAAAGTTGGTAACTTCAAGTGATGTAGCTTAAAAGTAGCCGACGTTTTGAAGACGCATTTATTTGTTACCTTTTGTCAAGTTTTGAACATAATGTACTAATTAATGATTTTGATTCGTCACTCCTATTTGTTTACCTTTTATTTTCATCGTTCAATTTCCACTCCATGTCGCTATTCATATTTATATGTCCAACTGTTCGATTTTAGTGTTATTAGCGATTAGAACCTATTAGGTTTGCTTAAAATGACGAATAGGTACTGTTTTATGAATTAGATTAACCGTAAACTTCATGAATAAGTGGGTGTAACATCTTGAGATATAAAAAATGCTATCGCATCTGTAATGCAAACAGCCTCTGGTCTATGTTTGACAACATGGAAGTTTCTTTTGATGTCAAATACCAATCACACATAATTCAGTTTTCACACCGACATGAGGATTTTATCGTGGATTTATAACAAGTGACAGAACAATTGAGAATCACCTGATGCTATTTTCGGACTTCAATGTTCATATCATGGACTGAATTCAAATTGACCTTCCGAAACCAGAAAGCACCGGACAGCCGTTTTGTCCTAGTATAGGATTGCTCAAAGGTATCCATCCATGATTCCACCTCAGGGGAGTTAACCCTGGACATTTAGATATAGCGGCGAGAGCCTAACATTTAAACCACTGAATTGGCATCCGGTAGTGTACATCCCCAACTTGAATCAACCAATGATACTGCGCAACCATTTTCTGATCTTATTCGTGGGTAACTGCTTCACTTTAAGCACAATGAAACTGCGCTAGTCACAGCTTCTCGCTAGAAATCCGGGGATTGACTCCAGAAATAAGTTATTGGTAAATACAGGAGCATATATTTTCGAATGGAATAATTCTTCGTTACAACAGACAAAACTATAAAACCAGTAGTGAGATCTGTGGCTAGCGCATATACGAAATAAAACTATCACGTAAAATAATGACAAACAATTAGCATAATAACATACTATAAAATAAGTGAATACCATTTCAAATAACAAGTAAACCTAATCAGTAGTTAATTTACTTCTCAAGATAAAAAAAGATAATTACAGCTCTGCCGAATTAAAAAAAACAAAAACAAACAAACGAAATACACTGGACGAATTACGTGGAGTGGGATTTCAAAACTTAACCCAATAACTTAAAGTTGAATTCTTCATGCAGCAGATCACATTACCCAGAGCCTATGTATTGACCTACTTTTATCAAGAGAACGCGATTGGTTACTGTACTTGCTTGTTTATCTGTACTAAAGACATTCTTCCTTCCTTTGATTATGACCTTGCACGAATTCGGTTACGCTCAGTAACCACACTTGTAATTCTTTGGCACGATCTCAGTATTCTTTCGATACCAACAAATACATCTCGACTACAGCCATCAACTGACTTCTGATATTTGGCTTACGGGGGATCTTATCGGTTAACTGGCATGCAGTCCTCCTATAGTGGTGATCATAGTCAACCGCGACACGACGCCACAATACACCTACATCCGCTACCTTTTATTATGAAATTTATCACGTAGGACGTGTTACTTAATCCAATTTACCTGAAAAGTTTTATTTTGAAACTAGCCATATTATCTGACAAAACATTGGTAAACAGAACGTGGGTTCTGAACTGGTGATCTGTTCATTTAAAATTAGAATGTCTGAACTAATGAGATATCTCCAAATAGTTCGTAACTCTACACATCGGCTCTATTTATTCCGAAACAGAACTAGTCTAAATGGATTTTTATATTCGTAGTTCCCTTATTTATGCAAACACATATACATTGATTGATTTGTCCATCTAAGGTCATTATTATGACAACTAGATGACGAGAAGTATCATTTTCTCATCCAATAACCACCAATTTGAGTGTTTCGCATTAGTGATGAACACCTAATCCAAAACAGTTTGAACTGAAACAATTAACAGGACTGATTTACGATCTAAAAGATGTGATTGGTAAGAAACACAATGATTTTAGATAATAACAGAAACCTACATAAAATTGGTCATATACAATGTTGACAATATGAGGAATGGATGTGTGCAGGAAACTAATGTGACTCCATTTTTTTTACTATTTGCCCTAACGAAAATATTTCTCAAACTTAAGAAATACCTACATCATAGAAAAAGGCAAAAAAGCTCTTTATGTATAATTCCAACGTAGCACAAGAAAAAACTTGATGCCAACTGAAACGTTAAAAAATTAACTGCATTAAACAAAATGATAGTATTTTTTTCTGGTGGGGAAATATAAAAAGGAAGGAGACAGTAAGCAGTAATAATTATGGAGGGGTGTAGTAATAAAAAGGCTGAGAAAAAATTTCGAAAACTACTAATACATACCGTGTACTAAATTTATTTTGCCCACACTCTGAGTCTTGGCAAAAGGAAACAATATACTCCTTTACAATATCGAAGGTCCTGGGTCTACAGGGTATAAACTCGAGTCCTAACAGGTAATTAGAGAAGGCTACGGAATCGCATCGAGTGTTCACTTAGCAGACTTATCAGCAACCGATTTATTTACTGTCCAACTAGCAAAAACATTTAAAAATACACGCTGGTTTATTTGAACACCTACTATTGAGATTCTGATATGAAAAAAAACTTTTTAAAAAAAATTATACACCACCTTTGTCTTGCACAAAGTTTCAAAAGGCTATGAAATAACAATCGATAGTAAAAAAACATATATGTCAAAAACAAAAATCATTATTTACCCGACTTGTAACTTTTGCACTGGCTACTCGTTGTCCACTCTGTCTATCCCATACATACAGAGTATGATCTTCTTGACTACCAACGCTAACTAAGTATTGATCGTTCGGGCTGAAACGTACAGCTACGACACGAAAATGATGACCACCGAATTCAGCTAACTGACAATGATCTGACACACTCCATAGTCGAACCATTGGTTGATGACCTGACTAGAAATTATGATAATTTAGGGAAAAAATACTATTAAAACTGTGATTAAACGGGTAATGATCAATATAATGGAATAACCAATGAATACATCGTCTTATTAGTCAGCTATTCTGATAAAAAAAACACATTTGAACTAATAGACTGTGTTATATTTAGTTCATTACAGAAGTAGTTAAATTACTTTGCTTTCATCTTTGAACAAAGTTTAAATACAGAAAAAATGACTTAGAAAACACCCTGTATGGAAAAAAGGCTCTAGTAAAAATCCCTTGTCCACTATAATGAACCTTATGCTGTAAGTTAAAAGTAACTTGGAGGCATCTTAATTAACCATTTAATAGAGACGAAATATCATATTGCCTAGACTGTAACGCTGATCGAATCTAGTCAGTTGAATCGCAATGTGACTAATTGATATAGCTGTGGTATATGTTTGGTGTTACGCAGGTGTAAGTAATCGGTGGGGAACTTCAAATCTAGGTTTGGGACTAATTAGTAATTGTCGTTAAAAATGTTATTAGCAATCCTGAGGAAGTTTATGTCCCCCCACGGAGGGATAGCTTAGTGATTAACGTACTCAGCTCTCGATCAATGAGTAAGCGGTTGAAACAATTGCATACCTACTTCGGTTTGGGCATTTGAGTAGTATCACTATCCCTAATACAATCAAATTAACTACGAGTCGAATAGATGAAGGAGTTATATTGTTCAATATTATACGGTAATGATGTTTAAGAGAATTGATGCAACGATAGAACAATAAATCCTATTCAAATCGAATATGTCAATTGAATGACACAAGAAACTATAAATCGACTCAGAAAGTAGGTTTGAATAATTGATTTTCGTAAACAGTAAATCATATGAAAATAAATAACTTGGTACTTTTGTTGAGTAGAGTAATCAAGATGCTTGAAAGTGTATGATTTCCTATATGTGAGTGAAGATATTAATGGCCGAAGAAAAACAAGATTCTCAGTCATGGGAATTAGAAATTACTGACGAAAAATAAACCTTTCTTTGTAAAAAAAATTCAGTCTCTGTCAATCAAAACTACTTTAAAATAGTCTAATTTATAAGTTATTTGTGCAGTTTTATTATTCTCAAAACAACTATTTAGTGAAGAAGAAAACAGCTATTTTTGTAGTATTTTATCAATCACAGGATATTTATTAGTGAAATGAAATAGATGACTTGGTTGTGACGATTACAATCTTTTCAAAAGTTAAAGTTAAGAAATACTATTAAAAATATTCCTGTATGGCTTTAATGATCTAAAGTAAAAACTTCAACGTAGGTAGTAATATTTTATCATTATAAATTTAAATGGACAAAATTGAAAAAATCGATACACAAAAAAGAAAGTGTTTCTCTGGCAACTTGCGTACCTTTAAACGACAGAATTTGTTTTGTTTCTATTCTACCCCCTACCCCATTCGCCCATAAGCCTACCCACTCGTTATAGCTTCTCATCAATTTGAAATAGGGAAAGTATGGAATTTCTCGTCACACAGGTATAAGACAATACTTTGGTAAAAGATTATTTCAAATAAATAATACGCATTGCTAAAGTAAAAATAATCTGTTCAGAAACTAACAGTAAAAAACATATAGCTACATTATATGTGCAAGATTCTCGCCAGTTAGTTACAAACTTCATGCAGATTAAAGGATAACATAGTGATACATGAGCTACGAGTCACGTTAACCGTAAGTCCGAATAATATTTGCAAGTAGTTGAAAAAAACACCTAATATAATAAGAGTTTGTAATGCCCTGTTTTAAATGCCGTTCTCCCCTTACTCAAATTCATGAAGAAAATAAGTTGTATAGATTTAGGTTGTTTGCCACCCAAATAGAAAATATTTCAAAACGTTGAAGATTTTTAATTTATAACTGAAAAAGTATGACTGTTCGTTACTTTCTCAGAATAGTATATTTCTCTTTAAACGCTAACGTTATCCACTGACTTGCCGATACCAGATAACCAGTAAACTTGTTCAGTGGATAGGATGTTTAAATTATCTTGTTGAATATGCTCAAAACTGAATTCCGATCTATCTTTGTTAGCATATAAAAATCGAACGAGGATTTTCTCGGTGTAAACGTCAACATCAGGATCCAGGCACATTTAGCTGACGAGTTTCAAATGGGACGAAATTTCCAACCTGAATTCCACTGCAACTCATAGTACATCTATTCTATGGAAAGAACTTGTAACAAAACAGGTGTATCTAGGAAATTCGCACAATATGAACGTTTACCAACAAAGACTGATCAGAACTCTGTCTAGAATATCAATAACGGAAACATTTAAAGGATTACTAGGTGGCTAAAACATATAAGACATTCATAATATACTATCATTTTGTAAAAGACATCATAATGGAATTTTACTGATTTTGATTACAGTCCAGTAGGACACTGTCATATTATTTACTACAGAATTAAACCATGAAAATTAACATTTTAATCAATCAAAATCCATGATATAATATTACAGTGGGAGTCGATAACACTAACAATAACTATGTGAAAAATATCATTTTAACCAATACAACACTGAAAAAAACAAGTAAAGAAATTTTCGACCTGGAAATGTTGCCTTAAATATAAAGAAAAAAGAGTTATGACAAAGAAAAACAGTTTATTAAAAAGAAATAACACTAATCAAATAATTATGACTGTTAATTTTGAAACGGATCAGTATAAGTTTTAACTTTGTATATTTAAAAATTAGGGGAAAAGGGTTTTCCAAAAGACTTTCTTATCTCAAATAGTTTTTAAGGAAGAGAAAAAAACAGCTATCCATTTGCTGTTATATATTAGGGTAAATTAGAATAATGTTGGCATATCAATGAAATAATTGTATTGATATTTAAGAAGTGTCCTGCTTTTTATGAAGAAAAAGGATTAATCTTGAAATCCAGTAGGAAAAAAAACCGATGAATTTCAACAGAGACTGACACCAGCAGAAAGAATCACCGGAAACCGATGAACAATAAGATACTTTAATTCACTTGATATTGTTTTACTTGAATCTTCCCATTGATGCTTTAGGACTGAAATTGATCAGTCTCTCACCCCATTGCACAAGCAAGTGGCTATTAGGACTCAGTAGCTAAGTGGATAACGCGATGGCGTTTGAAGCGAACGGTACTGAGTTCGAGTACCGGAGTGAACATCAACTCTGAGATGCAGGTACATCCAACTGACGAGTCCCAAACAGGACGAAACGCGCGTCCTGGATTCCACTGCTAGCTACTATCCATCTTTGCTTATAATAAGATACTTTTCTTATTCCAGTTTTCAACTCTTAAGTAGTGTACATTAACAAAGAAGTGTGATATTGAATCCAGAAATTCCAGTCAGCTATGGTAAGATTGTAACTGTAAGCTATTAATGACAGTATCATTTATTTATTTTAACACATAGATATTGGTACAAGGAGGCACCAAATACATATGCGCCACACAAATCTCATTTGATTTGTGTGAAGTCTGTGATACTACCCGGGTGCCCAAACCGAAGCAGGTGGTTTTTCTAGAGGGCCACACCCCAGGCCTTCGACCTGAAGGTCTGATCCATAAGGCGGTGGAGCATCATAAGGAGATGCAGTCTCATGGTAGCCGGTGATCAACAATTGGTTCATACGCCATTTGTTCCCGCAGGATACTGGAGCCCATGTGCACCATTGGTTTGGAATCCGGTTAAAGCACCGGACATTCGCTTTTCGTCCTCTCATTTTCGGAAACAACACCACCGTCACGAGAAGACAGTGAGTAGGACTTCCCTGGCAGAGGCTATATACGCGTAGCCATGTGAGAGCATTTCGAGAGGGAGAGAGGACTTATTTAATAAGACAAGATTACGAAAGGGAGAAAAAAAGCATAAAAACAAACAAAACAAAGCAAAGTAAGAGCTCTGTGCAATAACCTAAAAATTAGATAATCAATATGTTTTTTTTAAAAGACTAGCAATTTTACTAATGACTATTTATGCAATGAATTTAAACCTGTGATCTAATTTTTTTTTCATCAGTATAGGGGGTTATGGAGATTGTTGAGTTGTTAGGTCTGATGTTTAATTTCACTGAAATTAACTCACTAATATTTGTATATTTTACCCGCATAAAATTTGCAAAACATTAAGACAATGGAGAATAAGAATAAAACAGTAGTCTATATCAGACAGCAATTTATAGTCTAAGATTTAACTTGTAAATCACCGGGTTAATTTATGTCATTATATTCAAACAATAAAAATTAATTATTTAAATATGATAGATAAATATAATGCATGTTTACATTAAAAGTAAAAATCAAACCATGGTTAATCATTTCATTAAATGGACTGACGATAACATAGAAACAAACAAATGAATAAATAAGTATGATTCACTAAAATAGTGAGTTAGAATGATGATTAGTATCACTTATCATTACTACATATGACTATATTTGACGACTGGTTACGTTCAAGCCAATGCATTATACATCATCAAAACCACCAATCATTAAACATAAACTTATTTGACGATACATTGAAATTAATGAAATAAATACAAACACGTATTTCTATAGTACCCAGAATAAGATACAAATGGTAGAACGACTGTAAACATAAGCTCACTTATCTATATAATGATTTATGGTGAAAATTTATAAAATAAAATAGTCTACACAATACTATACAGGCGTTATTATAACAGTCATATTTTGATATCATAAGGTTTTAATGATTAATAATTAAACTTTACACACTACAACTCCAGATTTTGCTGTGTTGGCGATAGTTGGATCACAATCTAGAAATATTTTCTTTTTCCTAAATCTCACTATGTTGATCTCTTATTATGTTATTTTTTTATGTTCAATTCTCAAGAATATATACTTATACACAGGCGTATTAGTAACTGAATTTTTCTTATCACGAGTCCAATAAACCTTTTAGTCAAGATTTCATTCCTTTCATTTAAATTAGTTAAGAATATAGAAGAAAAAGGCTACTGATCATGATAATTCAGTTTAAGGTTATCTGATCTCACTACCAATCATATATCACTCTGACTATACATGTTTCTCATTTTTTTAATCACTCAATCCAACAACTGAATCCCGAAAGGCAAAAGTTGGTTAACTTTTATACTGACTGAGTGATAACTTTTTGATAAACTGCCATACAACGACAAAAGTGGTAAAAAAAAGATATATATGAATGAAAACACATATTTGTGAACTAAACTAAAAATGAAATAAATCACTTCTGTGAAGAAAAAAAAACTCAACTAAAGTTTGCTTACAGACAACAGTAAAGCAATATTCGAATAACGTCACATAATAATTAAGCTATAAAATGAAGAAATTCATTTGGACAAAGTTAACCACTTTTGTAAACGTTCAAATATTACTTTTATACGTGACAAGAAATATTTGATTCTTTGACATAACGGGGGCTATTTGGAACTAACAAACCACTATTTTATGATTATATAATAAAGCGTACAGAGAGCAGTGGAAAACTATCTGAAATATAATCCAAAGGTTATAAGGAATACATAATTAGGTCCAGTATAAATCCATTTTATATAATGTGTTCTTCTGAAATCCTAATAATATAAGAACCATGAAGAAATACTAGACTTAGTGCAGTAAATGCTTCATTCAAGTTCATCTGTGACTTCAAGAATATAAAACAATAATTTTAAAACCTATAAAAAAATCTTTAAAACGACTCATATAACAATATTTAGAAAATAAATCTTTAATAAAATGGAAACAAATATAAAACAGAAATTAAAAAATACTATGTAGTAGCAATGTTCAAAAAGTATTGTTTTCGCGTTGTTAACCAAATTCATTAAGAAATAACTTCATCGGTTTTATAAATTGGATCCAGCAAACTTATAATACTCCATGAAGGCGATGGTCACATGCTTGAATAACAAAACTAGTCGTTATCAAACGTATACAACACGGATTACAAATACTTTATTAACTGATTGAACATTATTTTCAAGTCACTTAAAGACTGATATAAACATTGGTCAACCCATCAAAACGTAAGATTTGGAAGGCATTGCTAGAAAGTTATGCACCAGCATGGTCGTCAGTAACGGGTGCTCCTAATTATCAAGAAAACAGTAATAAACAATAGCAAATGTACGGGTAATTTTCATTATGCATTGGTGTCATCCAACTTTGGAACATCTTAACAATGTTTACTCAAGACCATCAACTCTTACAGTTAACACAGTACCATGTGTCAAGATACAATGGTGCAAATTTTTCATGATAAAAATTATCTTGAAATTATGCAAAAACCTCCATTCAATATTGAAGAAAATATCTTAAGAGACGTATTATACAGAACAAAACGATTTCTGAAGACTAGAAATTATTGAAAAGTGATATACATACGTTTATTTATTATAACTGTTGTAAGCATTGGAAAGATCATTACTATGGTCAATAGTATTGAAGGAATAATTTTAGTTCAAGGTCATTTATCCATTAAAATCTAAACTAGTGCGAGAAAATGCAAAGTACAGATTTAAGGCTACAAAAGGAACATTAAAAATATGAAATAAAGTTCATTGATAATAAAACAAAAATCACAAAACAATTATCAGAGATTCAGTACTGAAATGTACAACCTCTAGAGTCAACTAAGCAGGGAAAAAAACCCGGATTGTAAAACGATTATGACTGTGTACTTTTCACAATTCAAATATATATACAATTAACACATCCGTTCATCGTATCTAAGTATATATGTATGATATTGTTGATAAGTTTGGGATTATCTTAGTAATTTTCATAGTACATAAAAACACTGTTGTATTGCGGAGAGTGCTGAAGGCAGTTAGCAAGATGTGTGGTGAATCTTTCGATGTCATAATATGGTTGTGGATAGACATCTAAAATCTTGCAAACTCCTGGCAGGTGTTATTTTATCAGATACTAACCATCCCCTTCACTCTTATCTTTCTCTTTGTATATCTTCTGGTAGAACGAGACGTAATCACATTAAAATCCATGCACGCAAGCAAAAGTATGAAAGTTCTATAATACCTTACCTAGCGAATATACTCTGTGACGAACAGGTTGTTAGAGTTAACCTAGTGAATAACTTGCATTCTTAACATGTCTCTAATTTAAAAAGTTGTACAGGTTTTCAAATTTTTTAAAAAAATTTTAAACCTTTTTCTGCCTTTGTTTTTTTTTGTGTAAGAAACTTGTTGAAATACCCTGTGCTGAGAATTCTATATTGTACCAAAATATAATATTGAATAAAGCCATTAATTATTAATAATAATCATAATTAAATGGAGTAAAATGCAATAAGGAGTTCAGGTTCACTTATTATTAATCGCCATAGGACAATTAATTGTATTCAATTTCTCCAATTACTGCTGTTTGGATTTGTCCATACGTGTAGCGTTTCGGCTGTTAGCCTCTCTTTGTCTGAACTAAAACATTTTGGAGGATTCTTGTGCCATTGAAACCAATTATGCGGCCCAACTCTTCTGAGTACAGTGCTATCGCTGACCTATTCCCTGGCTTTTTTTCAGGTTTTCTGATGACTTAGAAATGTGCTTCAAGCAAAGTTTGTGTTCCTCCACCCTAACATTCAGCTGCTGTGATGTTTCAACTACATATATAGCATTACAGTCACTATATTTGATCGCATTAGCACAAGTGTTTGTTCCCCTTTTAGCGATGAATATTTGGTTGTTACCATTTTGGGTAACATAATAATAACAATCGAAGGATAAAATAATAGTGACTGCACTGTACTTATAACTAGTTCAAATTATATGATTGATATAACTAGTTCAATCACCACAGACTAAAACAACTCATACAGACGTCAAAAAGGACAATGATAGGATATATAACAATAAAAGTACAGTTATTATTGAGTTTAGGGCTAACCAGATTTATTAATTGATTTAAATATCGTATATATTGTTGGTACAAGTGCATTTAATGTTTATCTTTCTTTAAAACCTTAGTTTTTAAACTAACTTATTAGCTTTACTACTATTTCACTGGTCTATATTTTCTTCTTGAATAAAATCTTTCAAGTTTAGTTTTTGTATTACCATCAATACTGTTGCTATCTCTACTTGCCTCGAAAATTTTATTGAGGTTCGGTAATGGGGTGTAGCAAGTGGAGCAGATGTATACATGTGCCAGATTCTACGTTGCGTATGACTGACTGACTAACTAACTGAAAAATTATGTCGAGTTTAAAAGCAATTTCTTATCAAACTAGGATAGTGTTTTCTAAGAATCAATGATTTTTCAGATGAAGTTGGTTTGTAATGCAAATTACTTACAAACTATTTAACTCTTACAATTTTTTAACCAATAGTTATTATATCAATGAAATTCTCCACCTAACTTTATAAATGTAAACATGATAGAGAAACACATTACAAATTTATGAAGTAAAACAAAAAAACAGGGTTGATTGAACTGTAAAATGTGAAGTACAATTATGCAGAAATTCTATAAATTTATTTTGATTCAAAATAAATTAACTAACTTCTCCTGTGGCTAAATATTTTCCATCTGAACTAAAATCCACTGCTGTAATGGCTTTACGACTTTGACTTTGTATAAATTGTTGTCGTTCATTTTCAAATGAATGAAGAACTGTCACACACCTATTTACAAATGTATACATCATTATTATTAAATCAATAGCTTGAAAAACATAATTTTAAAAATTATTCATCTGAACAACATAATAATTTAATGTTTTATTCTGTCAGTTAGTATTAGTCTACATAAATTTTCATACTAATTGATGCTATTATCCAACTACAGACGTTTAAAGGGTGATTACATGAAAAACATTTCACTCATTGTTGCATAATACATACAAAACATGACCACCAAAAGTAGAAGATGGTTTTAAGCTGCATGTCATCGATTATAAGCATTTTTAAAGTCCTGACAGTGTGTGATGGAAGAACAGTGTTAGTTTTCTGTGTGATGAATTTCTTAGTGTTTATAGGACTGTAAACCAATTTTGAACAAGACAGTTGAGCTTACTCACGATCAGCTGATGTTATATTAGTGTCCTGAGATGGTTATAGGTTGATTCGATAAAATATTAAGATGACTGAGTTCACTGGGCTGAAATTCCACTTACACGACGGTGTCAAGAATCCTGGGCAAATAAGCTTACCAAAACAAAGCCATCGATCGACTTAATGAGTATTTGATTATGTGCAACAGAATTACATGTTTGGAAAATGTTAGGCTATAATACTATACCTCCCGATCGTTGTTGCTACATTGACGTGCTGGTCGGGTTTGCTTATCGTGATGAAGCAACCGAGCTATACTGGCTGGAACAACCGTTCCTCAAGGTCCCACCACGTCAGAAAGGTCGGTTGAAGAGCGGTAAGACTAAAAGCAACAAACCCAAGGTCCGAAGGCGAAGTCGTACTGCTGACTGTACAGCATGACGGCGATGCTGCCTCCCCACAACGAGGGGTAGGGTTAGAAAAGCTCGACCCTAAAAATGCACACCTCGCCTTATCCCACGGATATCCGTCTCCGGCGGTAAGGTCTCAACAAGTACGGATTTATTATTTATTTATTTGGACACATGAATATTGGTACAGGGGAGCGCCAATATATATGCGCCACACAAAACAATGAAAATTCGAGAGGAATACAAAGAAAGAAAAAAAAAGCTAAGGAGCGCAACAAAAAAAAGAGAGGACAATAACGAAGAGATTGGTGTAAGGTAATGTGCTAGTAATCAGGGAACGCAAAGGTACAATCGGAAGAAATCTTTCAGGTAAAGGAGACACAACCACTTTTTATGAAGAAAGTAAAAGAAGGTTACAGCAGGATCGCCACTGGCTTCTATTCTGAGCCATATCTGATAACGTCTCTAGCCACTGTGTAGCACCATCTCTCGGACCCCAACCAGGGAGTCGTGAAGGACCAACACAAGCCAGTCCTTTGCAGCTTTCTTTCATGCCACGACACCATGTCATGCACTGACCACCTCTCCGCTTCTTACAACCAGTCCCAGAGTCGACAAATAATGCACGACGTGGAATTCTCTGGGACGACATTCGGAGAACATGTCCAAGCCACCGAAGTCGGTGTTTCAAGATGGTGACACCAATTGAATTATCATCTCTGTGCCCGAACACACGATGCCGAACCTCTGCATTACTGACATGGTGTTGCCACTGAATGTCAGCAATCCTTCGGAGACAGCGATGATCGAACACAGAGAGTCGTCTAACGTCCTCAACTCGGAGAGGCCAGGTTTCACAAGCATAGAGCAAAACTGCTCTCACCGACGCGTTGTAGATCCGACCTTTTACGGCCAGACTAACATCACGAAGGCGCCATAGATGGCCCAGATTGGCATAAGCCGCTCTGGCTTTCACTATTCGTGCATTGATCTCATCACTCACACCCCCACCAGCACTTATACAGCTACCCAGATACACAAACTTCTCGACTACGTCTATCTGCTCACCATCCAGGGTGAGTACAGGATTGGAATCCTGCCAGTCTTGTACGAGTACTTTGCACTTCGAAGGTGCAAAGCACATACCATACCTACGGACATTGATTGCGAACTGATTAAGTGCGGATTGCATGCCTTGGGCATTATCGCACAGTAAGACAATATCGTCCGCATACTCAAGGTCGAGAAGTCTTTCTCCAGGCAACAGATCCACACCACCATTACTTACATTCATCAGAGCTGTTTCCAGAATGTCATCGATGGCAAAGTTGAAGAGGAATGGTGAGATTGGGCAACCCTGCCTAACCCCACTACTCGAATGGAACAATGGAGAAAGGTGGTTGTATGCCCTCACTCTGCCTGAGGTGTTTTTATATAGGGCTTTTAGGATGTTAATAAACTTCTCAGGCACACCCTTCTTCAATAGACAATCCCAGAGAACAGTTCTGTCCAACGAACCGAAGGCAGCCCTGATGTCAAGAAACACTACGATTGTTGGCCTTTGATAAGTATGGCGGTGTTCTAACATTTGGCGGAGGGTGAAGATATGATCAATACATCCTCGACCAGAACGAAAACCAGCCTGCTCCTCGCGAGTCAATCTTTCTCGGGTTTTGAACAACCTACGAAGTATGACGGAAGCCAATAGCTTGGACGCAATCGGAAGTAGACTTATCCCCCGATAGTTGTTACAGGAACGGGATGCAGAGGGAGGACGCCAGGTGGCACATCGGCGATGACTGTGCCGAAAGTTAGTGCTAGCCAGAAACAGGTTGTGGTCTGTGCATAGTTGCAGTAGACGGTCCCCGTTATCTGACCTGCGACCAACGAGTCCCCATCGGCCACCTAAACGACTCTCTTCTGTGCCTAGACGCCCGACCTGAGCATTCAAGTCTCCGGCTAGTACTACAATATCTGTCGAACGCACTTTCTGGAGAAGAACAGATAATTGGTGGTAAAACTCATCCTTGATTGCATCCGGGCTGCAATCTGTCGGGGCATAGGCGGAGATGACGAAAAGACATCGTTTCTCACGCCGATTTCTTCTCACTTTGATGGAACTTTCTAATCTAACAGCACATAACCGACTGTTAATGGGGATCCAATCGACTAGTGCTGCCTCAACTCTAGCGCTTAGTGCGACACCAACGCCTGCAAGACCAGACGAAGATGCCACAGAGTCCCCGGATAAGCGCACGTAAAACAAGCTTTTTGAAGTGACAGATGGAGAGCGAATTTGTAGTACTTCGCTAGAGTCTTGAATACGGGTCTCGGATAGACAACAAACATCAATATTAAGACTTTCCAAAGACATAGCCAGCCCTATCTGTTGACCAACCTGCATAAGTGTGCGAACGTTGAAGGCAGCCAGTTTGAATGGTGCACGTGGTTTCAGAAAAACTGCTTCAGTACTCATATTCGATGGTAACATACAACTTTCAACCGGACAGTGACTCGAGAACGTTTAGATACAGTCGGATTTCCACCAAAGCCGAGCCGCTGTATAAGTATGAAAGAGGGTGAATAATGTGGGAAATAATAATAATAATAATAATAATAATAATAATAATAATAATAATAATAGTAATAATAATAATAATAATAACGACAATAATAGTAATAATAATAGTATTAATAATGACAATAATAGTAATGATAATTGTTTGAATCGATTGATTGTTTTTGTTTTTCGGAGCGATAAAAGTAGTTGCCAAAGACATAGAGTTCATCGTTTGTGTGTGGGCTGTGATACTGCCCGGGTGCCCAAACCGAAGCAGGTACGGAGCTAACACAAAAATCACCCATAAAAAGGTCGTGTGTCACCGACCTCAAGCAGTTGTCCCTTGGGCACTGCGGTCACGCTCTCAGGTCACTAAGACCACCTCTAACCCAATTTCCTTTTCAGGTACCTCCAGAAGAACCCTTCCACGGTGTGGGCAACCGGGAAGTGATAACCGCCCTCATACCTCTAACAGCATTCAAGACCACTGTATTCATAATCAACCTCCCTCTTCAATTCCTATTATTCCTCCTACATCGACATTCAACCCTAAACTTCCTCTTTCGGCTTCCTCCTCAAGTGTCACCATAGCCAACGATTCTAGTGCTCAAAACCCTGTCCCAGGTCTACTGAAACCTCGCTCCAAACTACACATTGGAGCCTTCAACGTACGCACTCTATGTCAAATCGGTCAACAGGCTTCCTTGGCTAAAACCCTAGAGTCTATTACCATTGATGTATGCTGTGTCTCCGAAACACGCATACAGGATTCCAGTGTGGTCATTCACTTGACCTCATCTCGGCAAAACGGAGAGCCAACGACATACACCCTCCGTGTATCTGGTAACCTGATGGCCAGTTCTCGTGGACTGGCAGGTGTAGGCATAGCACTAAGCATGAGGGCGGAACAAGCACTGTTAGAGTGGATCCCCGTTAACAGTCGTCTATGTGCTGTTCGGCTAAACGGCTCCGTAAGAACTCGGAAGGATAGGGACACACGTCGTTGCCTTTTTGTCGTTTCTGCCTACGCTCCCACTGACTACAGCTCAGATGAAGTGAAAGATGAATTTTACAGAAAGCTGTCCGAACTTCTGCAGAAAGCTAAATGCTCAGACATAGTACTCGTAGCAGGTGACTTTAATGCTCAGATAGGTAGTTTAAACCAAACAGAAAGGCATTTAGGTGGGTGTTTTAGCACACCGGCACAGCGAACAGATGATGGTGATCGTCTGCTGAAACTACGCTCACACAATCGTTTATTTTTAGCAAACACAAATTTTAAGCATAAGGAGAGACATCGTCTGACATGGCGACCCCCTACACCAAATCAACGATGGACTCAAATAGACCATATTGCCATCAGTCATCGTTGGAGAGGGTCGGTACAAGATTGTCGCTCATTCTGGAGTACCTGTTTGGACTCCGACCATGCCCTAGTACGGGCAGACATCTGCTTGCGCCTCACTGGACGCAAAAAAGCCTCAGTAAAAAGACCCATTAGAACTGAGTTGAGTAGCGAAAAAACCAAAAGTAGGTTCCAGGAACAACTGAGGTCACAGTTAGGTAGTTTTGAAAACGAGGCTGACCCAGATGTTGCTTGGAAAGATATACAAACAGCTGTGGAAACAGCAATGAAATCTATTAGTGACTTAAACCACAGAGTTACAAAGAACCAGTGGATTTCTTCAAAGTCTATCACACTGATGGATTCTCGTAAACTCGTCCCATCAGGTTCTGAACATGATGAAGAGCGAAAACAAATCAGATCTAGGTTAAGAAAAAGTCTAAGAAACGACCGTGAGCAGTGGTGGGCAACGAAAGCAAAAGAAATGGAAAAGGCGGCGACTATAGGGAACACAAAACAACTCTACAGATTAATAGAAGAAACTGGAACTAATAAGTCAAGTGTAACTCAGACTATTTCGGAAAAAGACGATACGCTCATCTGCTCCCAGTCCAGACGTTTAGAACGATGGGCGGAACATTTTAGAGAACAGTTCAGCTGGCCTCCAGCTACTCTACAACTACCCTCCATTCCCAGACAATGTGAATGGAACATTGAAGTAGGTCCCCCAACTCTTGCTGAAGTTGAAAAGGCTATAGTTAATCTGAAATGAGGAAGGACAGCTGGTCCAGACGAATTGGCTCCAGAGGTCTTTAAGGATGGTGGTCCAATTTTAGCAATTAGGTTGACTAATATTTCAGCTAAGATCTGGGAGTTAGACGTTATTCCATCTGACTGGTCACAATCACTTATCGTCCCAATATACAAGAAAGGGTCAAAATCATCTTGTGACAACTATAGAGGGATTAGTTTAACTAATATAATATCTAAAATACTAGCCTCGATAATTATAAGACGCCTAACTAAGACTCGTGAACTGCAAACACGAGAGAACCAAGCTGGCTTCAGACCTGGTCGTGGCTGCATCGATCACATATTCACCATTCGTCAGGTTCTAGAACATAGGCATACTTATCGGCGTCCGACAATGGTGGTCTTTCTCGACTTAAAAGCAGCATTTGACTCGGTAGACCGCGAGATTCTGTGGCAGTGTCTCTCATTGAAAGGCGTACCCCAGAAGTACATAAACCTTATAAAGGCTCTTTACTCGAACACTACTAGTCGAGTCAGGGCTTATGGCGAACTGTCATCTACTTTTGCAACCTCAAGTGGTGTCCGTCAAGGCTGTCCACTTTCTCCATTTTTGTTTAACTTCATCATAGACCTACTGATGGAAATAACATTCTTGTCGACTGAATTCTCGGGTATTGATGTCCTACCAGGAGGTCCACTTATCGACTTAGAATTCGCAGATGATATAGTCCTGTTTGGTGAAGACGCTGACAAAATGCAGAGTCTTTTGGTAGCACTAAGCAACAATGTCAGAATGTTTGGAATGCGCTTCTCTCCCTCTAAATGCAAGTTGTTGCTTCAGGACTGGTCTGCGTTGACATCTGAACTAAGGATAGGGAGTGAAGTAGTCGAACGCGTTGACAACTTCACTTATGTTGGAAGTCTGATTAGCCCTAATGGGTTGGTGTCTGACGAAATCTCAGCACGGATTCGAAAAGTTCGATTGGCTTTTGCCAACTTACGTCACCTATGGCGAAGGCGAGATATCCGTCTATCAATAAAAGGACGAGTATACTGCGCGGCAGTCCGTTCTGTCTTACTTTACGGCAGCAAAACATGGCCTTTAAGAGTAGAAGACACTCGTAAGCTACTAGTATTTGACCACAGATGCCTTAGAAATATCGCTGGCGTCTGCTGGGTTCACCGGGTAAGTAATAGTGAGGTTAGATGCAGGGTATTAGGGAATGATGGTAAATCAGTTGATGGGGTTGTTAATCTTCATCGACTGAGATGGTTGGGTCACGTGTTACGTATGCCTGAACACCGATTACCATGACGTGCAATGCTAACCGGTGTTAGAGATGGTTGGAAGAAAGTAAGGGGAGGCCAAACCAAAACGTGGCATCAGTGCTCGATGTCACTAACTTCTAGTCTGAGCCATGTTGGTAGATGCAGACTACTTGGTTGGGGTCCGCGTGACTATCGTAACCAATGGTTGGAGACTCTCAGTGACATGGCTCAGAATCGGTCACACTGTCGTCGGTGTATACACTCTCTGTCTTCCCTTAAACTAAGAGATTAAAATTGCTTCATATCTTTCTTTCTACGAACTAATTCTTTCTTCCTGTTCTATATCCTTATTGCAATCTTTATTTTATATATTACCACCTCTGAATTAACCACTTATATGAATCCGGTATCCATCTTGTTGTGTTAATGATGTATGACAACTTGTACCGATGCATATATGTGCTTGGTCCTACGTTGTGACTGGCATGACATAATACTATACCTGAATTACTTATCAGATCATGATTAAGTATACGAATTAAAAACATAAAGTACTCAAAGGTCCTTCATTTCTGCTTAACACGATCGGTTAAAGTGGGAGTGAACTGAAAAACGAACTACGCATGGTTATACTTTTAGCGGTGCGAAATTTGACTCCAAAACGAATGAACAATAAATGAGCCATGAACATAAGTTTTATATTAAATTCCGTATATTCCACTTAGACTAACACTGTTTAGGTGACAGCGGTGATTAAAATCTAAATACGAATTAGGTTTGATCCATTTATTTCATGTACTTGTTTACTCAGACATTAAGATGAGAAGCGAAGCGGAGTGGGGAAGGAAAGCGTACCAACTCCACTTTATGGAAGGTGACTCACTATTTATGGTCAGAAAAATAAGCTAAAAAGATGTGATGAATGGAGTAAGCCATAGACAAAATATGTTCAAGGCCAGGGTTGCAAACGGATAACTGACAAATTTGTGGATAATGATGCAAGAAGAATAATTTAATTGGTCGTTTTAGACGTGATATAGTACTAAACACTATAAATACGATGTAGTATTAGTCTACAAAGTAACATCCTAAATCTGAAAGTTATGAGATAATCCAAGCTTCTTTTGACAGGATAGCAGTAATCGATGGTTGAAATTTGAAGCGTTTTCTAATTGATCCCCAAACTTGAACAACTTGAAGCAGAATAGAAGCTTTATCTTTACATACTTTCCCTGAAAATGCCATCAAAAAACACGAGTGCATATTGGCAATGGAAATTAAAACAAATGATTAAAAACAATTTTTAGCAAAAGAGAATGATATATTATGGCTTTTATTATATCTTATAAAAATAAAGTTGATTTGAATATTGCACTCCCTAGTTAGGCAAACTATGAAATTTATTAACTACAAAAAGTAAAATATGTTGCAAACTTTATGAAATTTGTGCTACAGAATAACATCTACAGAAAATATATCATATAAACGATATAAGTACTAAAATGCAACTCACCCAGCAGCATGAGCAATAAGACCAGTTTTATCAGAGAATGCAACTGCGCAGTTATTGTTCAACGTAAAACCTATTACCCGTTCAAGTGTAACCTGAGTATTAGGCTAATTAAGATGAAGAAGTAATGAAATAAGAGTTCCGTTGAAATGAATTTTAAAATATTGTTAACAGTCACGATCTGACACGAAACATCTCGATAATACAACAGATATGATTGGAGAAAAGTTAAGTACAAAGATCCGCAATACTAACGACCATCACATAGCATATCTAAGCACATGGTGACACTTGGTTACATCTATAAACAGAAATCTAAGAGTACACCAACTGATTCCCATAAGAATACGCGCTTTAAATTCTTAAGCAAAAAACATAGTATACTGAAAGCGTATAAAAAATAGGTAAAACCAACATGAATTCTTTACTCTATCAGGTATACTATTTCGTGGTGGAAATAGTTTGACAAGCTGAGATTTTACCTATTATATTGATCGAGTAAAAACCTCAACGCAAAGTGGTAATCACGAAACAAAAAATTATTTACTTCAGAAATGATGGGTGTTTACCAACTTTAAAACAAAAAGACAATATTTCTTAATAAACTTTCTCTTTTTGAGAATGTTACTTTTAGTGATTACTTGGACACGAAAAGCCCCAACACATATTTTTTGAATCTATTTATTTGATTAAAAAAACTTAACAAGCACTATAAGCTTATAACACACCACCTTCAAAGTAATAAACTAAGAGGTAAATGTCCGATCCAGAATTCATTTTTTAGCTAATAGTTGATACTTGCTAAATTTGGATAAAATGATAATACTACATTACTTTTGGTCTGATCTGTCTACTTTTCTGTACTGAAAATCACTAGCCTGAAGTAGTTCATGACATAAAACGATCTGTAAATATCAGGGATTTGTTTGTCTTCTAATTCTTATGAGAAATCCCCGTTATATGAAAAAGTGAGTCCTGAAGTTGTTAACAAATAAATGTCTGAAAACAATGTGACAACAGTGAACCACCCCAAATCCTATAGTTCTTCATTTCGAGATACACGAGTTAGGTATTCGATCGTAAACAGTGGCTCCACAGATTTGAGAGCGAATACAGAATGTTTCGACATGATATTTTTTAAGACACACTTACCGATCTTAAAATATTTGACAGAATTTTGCACAAACAATTCTGATTTAAAAACACGTGGTCAGGGATCATAGAGGTTATTTACAAAAATCTTTTGGTTTGTGTACATTTTAAGCGGGATGACATTTATACCAAGCTAACACTGAGGTTTATAGAAAGGAATAAGAGGCGGTCATTTAATGGGATGGACCAATATAGTGAAGGGTAGTCTAGTTGTATTATTACTCACTAGCTCGTTAAGATCAGATACTCTGTGGTATTATTTCTACCAATTACACATGTAGATCATAAGACGATTGAGATCAAAAATCTGAATGAACGGGATTGGTCTGAGAGCGCCAAAGGCTAGCATAAACAAGTTTCTAAGTCCCTAGTTTATCCCCCGGTATACGTAGGTAATAATTCATACAACTGGTAGGAAGCGATTGGCAGTTTTTTAAATCAATTCTGATTAGACTTAACACGAAAAGATAGAACTTTTGGAGAAATAGTGTTACATCTGAACAAAACACTGATATGAATACTTGTTATGACGGCGGAAAAACTATTACTTGCTACTTGTGACAACCAAGTAGGATTGATACGGCTTGATGAGAAGGATGAAAAAGAGTGCAGATGAACATTTGTTATGAGAAAAATAAAAAAATGTATCAAATATACTGAGATGCACATGTTTACTTATCTGATCAATTGTTGGGTTTCAATACACTGAACTTGGTAGTACTTGGCTTAACATATGTTTTCAATTTAAAATATTAATAGGTTAAACTGCTTTAGCTGACAAATATTACTGATCTGCTGAGTTACACATTTACTCCTTTCTGACAATTAGTAAAGTTTTTAATACTTTTGGTTGAAGAATGAATCTGTCTTTAGTTTCGAAAAATTAGGACTAATCAGATCAATAAACTAGCTACCAATCACTCGGAATAGAAGAATCTTCACATCAATATACATTAACTTTAAGAACGAGATAAGACAAGAAAATTAGAAACTAGATAAATGTGCAGACTTCACTATTACCCTTTAAAAAACTTACTTGTATCTTGCATGATTTAGAAATCGTATGTGAGCGCACTGGGCGTTTAGACATATCTCAGTTATTTTAACCAAACATTCTACTAAACCTCTTGGCATTCTGCAATCAGAAAACAAAAACATGACATGGTCTAGATATCAAGGGATGACAAAAACTTAGAAAAATATAGTTAAATAATAGTGGTTTGTGACCAAGAATTTTAAGAGACTTGTTGCATTGAGTTATTAACTTTTTAAAGTTCAAAGCAAAACACTGATTAGGCCGAAAAATCCGTTTAGAAAACAATGTAGAGAACGAATAAGCAAAACACCATTATAAAAATAAATACTTGAAGAAAAATTGACAGATCCTTGGTTGCGATTGATTTTTGTACATTTCATATGGCGTCTTAAAAAGTATGGTGCAGATGGAGAACTGGTAAGGGCTAAGGTAGATAGTGAAAACTTGACAGAAATACATGGTCTCTATTGTTGTACTTAGTTACCAACAGAAAGTTAAAATAGTATCGCTGATTTCTGTACATAAAAAGTATGAAGGAAAATACTACTGTAGATCTTGAGTCTAAAATATCAAAAATAATCGAAAGAACGAGCGACGTATACGGTGATCACTCGAGAAAAACGACCCGCTTCCAGCTGATTAAATGCAAAAGTTAAACCGCCCTATTACTATATATAATCCTTTAAAATTCAAAAGCGCTGACTAAATTTGAGGAAATCGTTTTATAAAGACTACTGATAATGCACATAATCGCAAATCGAAATAGGTCAGTCAGTCAGTCATTAACAACGTAGAATTTCGTACGTACGTACACCAGTTCGAGTCGCCACACCACATTAGCACAGAGATGCAGTGGTCGATTCAAATCCCGTAGTGCTAGATGTAGTAAAATTATGAGCAGTAATCAGAAAAATAAGGGGTTTGAAGATGTTATTCAAGGAATACAATCCAGTGAAATAAATTTGGAAAGAGAGGTAGGACTAAACTTAAGATGTTCGAGCACTAGCAAATAGAATGCTGTCACATGCCCCTTTGACTACTTGTACAAACACTAAAAATAAAACTCCGAAAGTTCTCACAGAGACCTTATTTAATTTGACGGTTGAACAATATGCTTCTATAGAAGTATACTACGAAGTCACTAATTGATAACCTAAAATGATATTTCGAGAGAACATGGCGCTTAAATCCTTATATACCAGAAAAACGAAAACTAATATGTTGGAGCACGTAAAAATAAGAGGTTGATTACGATTATGGTAATCTATACCATAAAAACAATGTCCTACAGTGAAGTGTCTACTCAAAAGTAACGAAGTAGTTTAGTGCAAGCGGCGATTTGGTTAGGTCTGCAATACCTTTTCTCATGGTGTCCAATCTGACCAAATTCTAACTACATTCAGAACACATCTAAAGCCTTTTATTGAGAAGAATAATCAACTTAGAAACAGATTAATAGTTGACAGTCATCAGAATGGGTTGCTGGTGAACACGATTGATCCTATAAATAACCGTGATCTATCAGTCTTCAGTAATTAGAATAGGAGGTCTATTAACCTATATTATTCCTTGCAGTTTGTAACACTGTGGAGGTTCAATCTCGTTTTCAATATATCGGCAGAATGTGTTGATATTATGTGTTCCGAGAGTTTCAGTAATTCATTACTCAGTGTGAGAAACGAAAATCCAGACTTAGATTGAGAGGACTTTCTTCGAATGTCCTCTCAAACGATCAGTCCTAGACGAAAGTGAAAGATAAGGGGTATTAATACCAAGGTCAATGTTCAGTATACTTACTTACTTACGCCTGTTACTCCTCGTGGAGGAGAATAGGCCGCTCACCAGCATTCTCCATCCAACCCTGTCCTGGGCAATCATCCCCAGCTCCTTCCAGTTGTTATTCGTCCTTTCCATATATGCTTCTATTTCCCGACGTAATGTGTTCTTTGGCATTCCTCCTTTACGCTTCCCTTCAGGATTCCAAGTAGGGCTTGCCTCGCGATGCAGTTTGATGATTTGCGTAATGTATGTCTTATTCATTTCCATAGTCTTTTAGTAATTTCTTCTTCAGCTGGAAGCTGGTTTGTTCTCTCCCAGAGAAGGCTGTTGCTGATAGTTTCCAGTCAATGGATGTCGAGTATCTTGCGTATACAATTGTTTATAAATACTTGTACCTTCTTGATAGTGGTTGTTGTAGTTCTCCAAGTTTTAGCTCCGTACAGTAGATTTGCCTTGACGTTGGTATTGAAAATTCCGACTTTGATATTGATTGAAAGTTGTTTGGAGTTCCGTATGTTCTTTGTTCAGCATACGATAAGTCAATATTAGATCATCCCGTATTCTACGGTAAGATAACGGAAATAAGTTAAGGTGTCAGTCTGTCTTCATGAGATAGGCCTGACAGACCTTTTACCATCTTAGTCCATCGTCGTTTGACTGGCTCCAGCATATCCACCTCGTACGTGAAACAAGGACTAACTGCTTGAATCCCATATTCTAACTTTGGTAGCATATAAATCGGGTATAATAATCTAAACACTTCACCATCTAAACACTGGAAAGACCTACGGATAGACCATAATACTCTATAGCCTTTCACAGCAGCAACCTTACACTGACAAGTGGTTTTGTGATCACTTTAATATGACTCCTAAATCTTTATAGTTTCTTAATTTGGGTAGCACGAATCCACATGTTCTATAGTGATACGATTCATCATAGTTATTTAATTACATCACCACACTCTTATTAGGATTTACTTCTAGTAACCACCTGTCCAACCATACCACCATTGAGTTAAGATCATTCTGTAATACTATCCTATCCGACATAGTGTGTATGGGTCTCCCAATTTTTATATCATCAGCGAAGTGTAGAACGGATGATTTCGCTACAGTTGGTAATTTATTTACATAAAGTAAAAAGAGAAGAGGACCGAGGATTGTGCCTTGAGGAATTCAACTTTTTACAGGTTCCCACGAGGAGGGAGCTCCATTTTCCCTTGCCCTTTGCTTTCCGTCATGGAGAAAATCACATATCAAATCTATGACTGTTTAATAGATTCCAAGACATTCTCGTTTGGATTTCAGATCAGCATTATCTAAGGCTTTACCTAGATCTATGAAAATCACATCTACAGGAATATTTCGATCTTTTGCAGCAACCCAACCTGAGGCTTTTTTGGTATCATTTCCTGCCTGTATTAACGGATAATCTTGTATCGGGAGTGATAGAATTCCATCGCTTCTCCGAGTTCGCCGTTTTATAAACGAGAATAACCGTTTCGGAGGATAATTACAATCCATAACAAACTGTTTTCCATATGACCGTCTAGTCTTACTTGTTATCGCTGTACAAGCACTCCTAATCTTATGATAACTGGATCTGTATTGTTCTAACTCAGTGGATATAAGCGTATTCCAATGCTTTTCCCTGAGTTTAAGGAGTTTCTTGACTTGTTTAGTTATCAATAGTGGACTGTTGTTCGGTCTGTAGTATTACGGTCTACTTCGATATTAGTACTGATCTAATATTAGACCTAATCCTATAATTGTAGATTTGCCATGATATAACTGCCTAATATACAAAATCTTACGTGGATGTCACATCATCGTCTACACCAACTCACTATATTATAACAATTACCAATACATGGTGGAGAACAAACTTAGGCTAGAGATAGAACAATATATTTAATATAAATAAAAGATATAAGGTAACATTCAGCAGGGACCACGCCTGCATGGCCGAGCCATACCATCCGATCAACTCGAATTAATTCGATTCAGTATTCCCGCCCTATACATCGTTAGGTATTTCTCAGTGTTAAATATTGAATAATTATTACCCGAGTAGTCTCGTGTTCAGCTTTGAGGATTGTGTGGTTATGGTCCAATTCCGCCACACGTCTACATGGTACCATGTACGGTGTGAACGGGGACGTAACCGAACTAAACTTGTCTTTAAATGTAGACCATGACTCTTCAACTGATGAGGTCGTATCTACTGAACAATTTGTCTGAGCAGTGCACTCCTGAATGGCTGATATGTTAGCTTTCCATACATTTGGGCGGGGTGTAACCTGATCGCATATCATGTCACCATCTCTAAACGTGAATGACAAAACAGCGTGATCGCTGTTCACTAACAGTGGAAAATTGTTTAACTTGGCAGTATCCACAGTCGCATGAGTAATTACCAAGTCCGATGGGAGAATCCTGCTTTTCCCTTTGTGTATATTGAGACCTATTGCTGCTGAGGCTGCTACCACACTGTTCGTCTTCTCCTGCATCTGTTGTTGCGTTTGGGATAGAAGGGCCAGATCGCCTGCGAAGTCTAGATCATCCAACTGCATCATAGATGTCCACTGTATCCCGCACTTCCCTTCAGACGTTGACGTCTTCATGATCCAGTCGATCACCAGGAGAAAGAGAAACGGTGAGAGTAAGCAACCTTGCCTAACACCGGTCTTCACTTCGAACGACTTTGTCAACTGTCCTCCATGCACATGTTTGCAGTGTAATCCATCATATGAATTCTGTATGATATTGACTATCTTCTGAGGCACGCCGTAGTGTCGAAGAAGTTTCCATAGTGTTGTTCTGTCCACGCTGTCAAATGCCTTTTCGTAGTCAATGAAGTTGATGTAGAGTGATGAATTCCATTCAATTGATTGTTCCACAATGATCCGTAGAGTTCCGATTTGGTCTGTACACGATCTATCCTTACGGAATCCATCCTGTTGGTCACGAAGTTGGGCGTCTACTCAGTCCTTCATCCTGTTTAACAATACCCTGTTGAAGACTTTTCCGGGTATTGAGAGAAGAGTGATGCCCCTGTAGTTATCACACTTACTGAGATCGCCTTTCTTCGGTATTTTGATTAGAAGTCCTTCTTTCCAGTCTGTTGGTACTTGTTCCTCATCCCAAATCTCATTGAAGAGAATGTGGAGTATCCCTGCAGTTGCCGCTACGTCTGCTTTAAGTGCTTCTGCTGGAATGTTGTCTGGTCCTGCTGCTTTGCCACTCTTGATTTGTCTGATGGCCATGCTGATTTCTTCAATTGTTGGTGGGCCAACATTGATTGGGAGGTCCGTAGGTGCTGCTTCGATGTTGGGTGGGTTCAGTGGAGCTGGTCGATTCAACAGTTCTTTGGAGTGTTCTACCCACCTGTTTTGTTGCTCTTCAATGTTGGTGATTACCTTGCCTTCCTTGCTTTTCACTGGTCGTTTTGGTTTGCGGCGATTTCCAGAGAGTTTCTTTGTCGTGTCATACAATTGTCTCATGTTTCCTTCTCTTGCAGCCTTTTCCGCCGTCGTTGCTAAATCTTCCACATATTTACGTTTGTCGGTTCTGATGCTCCTCTTCACTTGTTTGTTTATTTCCGTGTATTCAGCTTGTGCCTTGGCTTTTTCTGCTCTTGTTCGACTGGTATTGATCGCTGCCTTCTTGTTTCTTCTTTCCTGAATGTTATCCAGTGTATCAACAGTGATCCATTCCTTGTGGTGGTGCTTCTTGTGACCCAGGACCTCATGACCTGTTGAAGTGATTGCCTCTTTGATCCCCTTCCAGGTGCTCTCCACAGTAGTTCCTTCTCCATTGAGTAGATCATGAAATGCCTGGAACTTGTTGCTGAGGACTATCTTGAATTTGTTGAGTTTGTTAGTATCTTGGAGAAAGGCCGTATTGAACTTTTGTGATACTGTCTGCCCCGTTGTCCAGTGCTTCTTGAGTTTCAATGATCTGATGCTATATCAGCTCCTCTCTTGGTTCTCACGTCCTCTATAGTCCTCCTGAACGTTTTGTTGATGCAAATATGGTCGATTTGGTTTTGTGTAGAGTGATCCGGTGAAGTCCATGTGGTTTTGTGTATGCGTTTATGTGGGAATATAGTGCCGCCTATGACCAGCTTATTGAAGACACATAGATTTGCAAATCTCTCACCATTTTTGTTTCTTTCTCCCAGTCCGTGTCGTCCCATGATGTCTTCATATCCAGTGTTGTCCGTTCCGACCTTGGCATTGAAATCTCCCATCACAATGGTCAGGTCCTTTGTTGGGCACTTCTCGACGATTGACTGCAGCCTATTGTAGAATTGATCTTTAGCGTCTTCATTGTAGTCGTTGGTAGGCGCATAGCATTGGATGATGTTCATTGAAATGCCCTCTTTCTTTGTTTTAAACGAGGCTTTGATGATCCTTGGTCCATGAGATTCCCATCCTATAAGTGCATTTTGCGCTTGTTTGGACAGCATCAATGCAACTCCTTGTGTATGTGGTGCATTTTCTTCTTCATGGCCGGAGTATAACAGGAGCTCTCCTGTAGTTAGTC